ATGATATACAGATACTATGAACACAAAAGCCTTATTTCCTTAATAAAGCATGCTTTAAAAAAATAACACAAGTTATCTCTATCGGTTTCCATGGGCTAGATCAGGCTATGTTAAGAAAATGTGTATTTATTTATAGAATGCAAATGTCCCTGAGCTGCACACTTTACCTCTTAAGCTAGTATCCCATTCCTCTGGGCAGACAGGAGAGGTTGGTATTTCTCATCTCCCATCAATCTCAGAGACAGCTCCAGTGGGAGCTGGGCACGCTGCTGTCCCGGCCCAGTGCCTGCACACAGCTTGCCCACCACTCACCACACCACAGGGAGAGCGGCAAAAGCAGCTCCACCAGCTCCTTTCGTGTTCCTGCCTTATGTTAAGCAAGTGCTACAAGTGTGAGTGACTGAAGGGAAGTGCTTACCTCAGCCTTCTCCCCGGGGGAAGAAGCTGATAACCAGCCACCAATTACACTCCCTAATTCTCTGCTCTGATCCCTGCACCCAGGAGGACCCGTCAGGGTTGGGTAACTTCTATCAGCTCCCTGTTTTCCTTATCATACAGACCAGAACATGGTGATTGCCAGGTACTGGCACCCAGACCCAACCTGTGCACACACGAACAGGGACAGGAATATCTACACTCGCCCTATCAATACAGGGTGCTCTCTCCAGATCACTGCAACAGATAACAGAAGAAAACATTACAGGCTGTGTCTCATCCTTGCCACTAAGCAGTCCACCCCGGATCACCAATCCGACCCTCACAGAGGGATGCAAACGCTACCTTTTTGTGCAACGTTGGACTGTCTCAAAAGAAAATATTATGCAACCATTGATCCTATCAAGTTTTCTATTTTCATCTTCTAACATAAAACATCTACACCTTGCAGATCATTCTACTTCAGATTTTTTTTCCTGTTTCAAGCCTCTTCACGCATATACTTCTCAGATTTCATTTTAAATGATCTATCCTGTAAAAGCAGGGCTCTTTCTTGAGACAGCAGAAAGGAACAGAGCTTCGGAAAAACTACTGCCTAATGTGCTAAATACTCTTTTCAGTATTACTTTATCATTCATCTATTGACTACTTTAACTTCCAATATCACTCTTCTATAGCACATCAGTAACACAAAGATGTCTTTGTAACAACCCAGTCAAATTCAGGCCAAGAAATGCAAGATTTGAACTTCAAGATTTCCTTCCAACTGCATTCATGTTTATTATTTATAAGCAGTTATTTGCAGCAATGATAATACTTCAGACAAGCCCAATGACAAAAAGGACTTCCAAAACCCAAAATATCCCTATCACACTCCTAATCACCATTTTTTTCCAAGAATGACTTGTTTTAAACTGCCTAATGATCATCCTTGCCAAATTACCACTGACCAACTGGACGAAGAGCAACTCGCATCGGAAATTTAAAGCTCAACACAATCACGTTTTTATCCCTGTTTTAATCCGTTTACAGTACAGCCTGTTAACAGGTTGATTTTGGTTTCTTTTTTTTTTTTTCTGCAAAACGGAGGAAAACAAACAAACCTACACACATTTTGGAAGGAGGAGACAATCTCAAAAACCTTTCATGCTTTTTTGTGTCTGAAAGGTAGTTCTGAAACTTCAGACTCGGTCTGAAAGTCAGTCCCAGCTGACTCTGAGGTCGACAATTCCCTATCACTGAAAAAAGAGAAAGTCACATAAAGAACTTCACACCAAAGCCCCTCAAAACAACTCTTCAGCAAAAGAGAAGAGGAAGAAAAAATAATAAACACAACATTTGCATACATTTGGATAAATTAATTCAGAGTAATAAACATGACTGTATGACTAGATTGCTCAAAGACTGTCCTGCAGTCCTATAAAGTGCTGAGGATTTTGGCTAAAATTCTCTTTGCACTGTGGTTTTACAGGCCGAAATACTGAAAACAAAAAACTAGGTTAGAAGGGGCCACTGACATGGATATTCCCTATTAACCACTGCAACCCCAGCAACAAAACTGCCAAGAAAGACACAAGTCTGTATCAAAGGATGAACATTTCTGGCAGTTTAACAGGAGGACATTAAGATGGGAGTTTGCCTGATAACATGCTTTTTCTGCTTACTAAGCTGAGAAAGTGCAACCACAACAGAGCCGTAAATATACTGCTCTGTTTAGTTTATTTTTACTCAAAACCTGATTATGTTAACAACGACTGCACTAGGGAAAAGAGTTAAATGCCTGTAAGGGTTTTCAGATCCAGATGAGAGAACATTCGCGTAGAGTCTATTCAGACATCATCTTCCCTTATTTCCTGTGCTGTTATTCCATGTTGTGATCAATATTTCTCAAACGTTATTCTCTCTGCTGCAAAATCAAAATGGAAGACTGATGGTAAGAGCACTATCCTAAGAATACTTCATTTGCCCTTTTATTCAGTAATATAATTAAAAGAATTGTATTGTTTTCAACTCCCTAATCCAGAGATACCAGCATTATGAAAAATAAGGAAGAGAGTGATGGATTTTAAGAGTTAAGTCACTTGTTTTCTGTGTAATGAGCCTTATGGCACAGTGCACTTGTAAATAACTAGCAACTCCCAAGTCGTACACATTAGCTGTGGGTCTAAAACAAAACCATCAGAGCCTTCTCTGCTTCCCTTCATTAAAGCGTACAAATTGAAATGGATTTTGCAGTTGCGGGAAACATCTTCATCTGCACACTCACAGCTTGCCCTCTACCCCGCCCCCCGGGGAGAAGCTTCTGCAGATCCTCACTGCATTAGCAATCAAAGCATGATAAGAAACATGTAGTATTGAACTGCACATCCCTGCATATCCTTTGATTGATAAGTAATCTTATTTAATCGGAGTAGCTTGTATGTTAGGCACTACAATATGTTACAGTTGCTATGGCATTTAACTACAAGTGCATCCAACACTCACCTCATCGAGTATACAATATAAACTGAGACTTTGTTCCCTGTCATTTCTCACCCAAGGCAGAAGAGCAATAATAAAGAGCACAACGTATCAAATTTAGTACTTCACATTAATAATTTTAGAGTAGAAAACACAGGAGTCAAGTGCGTATTTCAACTGAACTGGAGACTTGGATTTTTTGTTAGTAATTTTGTATAGCATTCATAGCAGACACAATGTATTAGAATACGTTTTAAAATAAAAGATAACCTTATGTAGCTTTGCAGGATAAACAGTTTCAGCACAGAACTTAATAACATACCATTTGGAGGGGCAGAAAGTGGCCCCGTTTCCCTGTATCTGCTCCCTAGCACAGTGATGCCAAAAAAGGGCATCAACTGCCACCGTACTGCTTCTTGCAATCTCTGATCTGTGGCGAAATACTTCAGCTTTAACATGTTGTCTGTTAAAAACCCTGTCGATATGAACTGGACAATACACAGCATACACGTTAGAAGTACTATTCCCAAGAACCTTCCTAAATCAGAGTGCAAGTGTAAACCAGTGCAGCCCGTACCGAGGTTATCTGCCCTGCTTTACTTGCCCTAGCTCAGATGATAAAGTCCACCATAATAAAATACAGCTCGTACCGTAAGCTACATTAACAAGTTTTGGACTGGATATATCACTGTGATTTCTAACACTAAAACAGTAATAAAGATATTTTTACACTGTAAACAGGACTTCTGATTTACATTCTGAAGGTTCTTCCCACAGCAAAAAAGCGAAGGCTGCAGCTCGAAACTTCGCAAGAGAAGCTGGTCTCCCAGCTAAGTTCAGGCCCAGATGAAAGCTTCCACCCTGAAATGCAGGATGACTTCATCTTAACAGGCCAGCACAATCCAGTGACTGTACGCAAAAACCTACAGCTATAAAAATCTGTAACATACAGCTGAAGGCTGTGAAGAGCCTTTGCTGAGAAATGCACTAGTTTACAAAAGATGAAGCGTCAGAGAGAGAAACGAATGCTGATAAAGCTTTCATGAAGTCACAGCCTGCAAATCTCGTTTAGTACCTCCGGTCAAAAAACATGCTGAAGAAACAGAGGCAGTGTTAGAAGTTGACAAAACGATACGAAAAAGTTTTTCATCTGCATCCCTTAAATTGTTTCAGAAGTAAGTTTTTTTTTTTTAATCTGTTTCACTATTAGAAGACAGAATAAGAAATCCTAAGCAAGGTCACTGAGCATGTCACATTTATAACCCAGTCACTAGATACACCATCACAGAGCATCATCCCAACTCATTTAGATTGCTAAAAAACCCCACCTCACACTCTCGATCCGCATACTTTACACTTTCGGTATTTTGCAGTTTATTCACCTTGCTCTTTTAAGACTGGTATTAACCGAAGCAAACACACACGATCGCTTTCTAGAGAGACCTAGTACAAATAGCCAAGAGCTAGAGCGGCTGAGCAGAACCTTCCCCTGCACACGCGTTAATTTACACACCAATCTGGCAGGCTATGCAGCAAACAGCACGCCCTAAGAAAAGCCAGGTAGGGGCTGCAGTTCGGATGCACAGATTCACTTTTTTTATCAACTGTGACCCCGAGGACATGCAGCCAAAGGAGCCTTCGCAGGGGCACAAAGAAAGACGCGGAGCTGCCAGCAGGATTTTACGACCTTTTCCCCTCTCTGAACGCCTGCAATCACACTACAGACGGAGAAAATAAAGAGAGCAACCAACTCCAGAGGCAGGGATAGAAAAATATTCGAGAAAATAAGCGCAGGACTGAAAGGAAACGAGACGTTCAGCTGCACCCACCGAGGGAGGAAATTTGGGGGGGCGCGGGGGGGG